AAACATCCTGGTGATTTCTGTCACCGACTCTGACTCCTGCTTCAACTCAAGGAACTCCTGAGCCAACCTCTCTCTCTCCACCTGCGGAACATAACGAGTGCTGAACATCTCTCTGAACTGATCCCAAGAAACCGTAGCCCTCTGCGCATCCGAATATGACCTCGTGTTCAACCTCCACCAATCCTTTGCCCCGAGCCTTAACAGGTTCAGAGCGCACCTCACCCTCTGATCAGCAGGGCATGAACACGTGAAGAAACATCCCTCCACGTCTGGTAACCATCTCATAGAAACGATTGGATCCTAAACTCCATCAAAAGTGGGAGGCTTCGTATTATCGAAGTCCCGATACTGAAAACCTCTACTAGCTCCTCCCCCTGCCGCTGCTACAGCCGCTGTAGCCACTGCGGCAGCCATCTCCGTGAGAGCCGCATAGCGCTCATCAAAATACTCCACCATGGTGGTCTTGATCGACCCAAACAACTCCGACAACTTAGCCCGAAACAATGCAGCAACCTCATCATGCAGGATCTCACGAATCCTCGCATCTAACTCGCGCATACTCATCTGACTGACAACCTCGGGCGGTACGGACCCACCCGGAACTCCCTCTCCTGCTCCTGATCCTGACCCGGATCCACTCCCAGCATGCCCTGAAATCTCCATACTGAAAATAAACCATCAAAAATCTCAGACACTTCCCACTATCCCGGGAACCAACTCTCAACCCAACCCTAGAGGTCATGGTTTCCCTAATACGCGTATGGGTCCTGTGCTTTCAGTAGTACGGGCCCATACTACCTTCCACACCTACCCATATTTGTATGAAGTACTTCCACAACACCCTAGCGAAAATATACATAACAACGCTGTATCCTCACAACTAGAGGAACACTAGAAATCTCTCACAAGAAAACCCTAACTAGCAGGCATCGTAAATCAGGTAACACATCAAGAAATCCTGAAGATCCCTAGCCTAACTCTAGCATGATGTTCTATCAAAGCTCAATAAGACAAATATCATGTATGGTATTTTGGGGTTACTTACTGGCTCTGGCTGATCGTACCTCCGCGTCCTCCTTTACTTATTTTGAAAACCATTTTATATTCTCTTTTGAAAACCCTCCTCAATTTTATACTGGAGTCACACAAGTGTTCCTCCAATTCACTCAAACCAAGACTCTGATACCAACTTGTAACGACCGAGAAATCAACCAATTTAAATTTATCAAAAAACAACCCGATTTCATTAAATTATTACAAAAAGGTTTTCAATAGAAATCATTTAGAGTATTCCCAGAATCACATTACTACAAAATGATGAGGAGCGGTACGATCACGCCTTCTCCTTGCCACAGTCTCCTGAAGAACCTGAAAAACATTAAACCACAACTGTAAGCCCGAAAGCTTAGTGACATACCCCCAAAATACCAACCACATATACCATACACATAACATGCTATCTCATAACGAATCACAGAACAGCCATGCATATCGGGTCTACTGTGGGACTGGTCCGCCTTGTAGGGCCTTCAGTCCACCTGGTCCACCCTCCGTGTCCAATCATGTCCCTCGAGTCTGCAGTGTGGTTGGTCCACCCGCACTGGGCCTTCAACTCATCTGGTCCACTCCCTGAGTCTATAGTATGACTGGTCCGCCCGCATTGGGCCTTCAGTCGGCCTAGTCCACTCTCCGAGCCTCGGCACATCTAGTCCGCCCTCGGGGGGCTACAGCCTATCCAGACCGCTCGCTGGGCCTTCGGAATAACCGGTCCGCCCTGGGTATCTTGGCCTACAGCACGAAGCAGGACCCGCCGCTACCCAACTCCCGTCCAAACATCCATGTGCACATAAACAACAATCACATAACAATTCATATTCAGGCAACCGATCAAGCAGATCACATATCACAACATACTCTAACAGGATACCGACCTAACCGGTCACTAGCATAGCCTCACCCTACATACCAGGATACCGACCTCAACCATCCTAACTACCAGGATGCAAACATATCAAAACAATAACATAACAACAGATACCCGAATCTCAATCCGATAAAACGGCCGGCCTTGGTGCCTTAGACCCTGTTGATATAGTGAGGATAACTCACTTCGAAACTGCCGGCTGAAAGGATAAGATCCCGCTGCTCCGAACTCCGACACGAACTCCTCCACTGAACACCAAAACACTAAACTCAATATATAATCTTAATTACCAAAATACCCCTGGAAGACAACTCGTCAACCTTGGACAAAGTCAAAGTCAACCCCTGACTGACTCTACTCGCCGAGTCAACCCGATGACTCGCCGAGTCCTTATGCTCAGAACTTCCCTCAATCCACGATCGAATTCTTCAAGTCACCCTGAGACTCACCGAGTCCAACAACTGTGAGTCCACTCGCACCCAACTTACCGAGTCATCCCTTGACTCACCGATTCTTGACTCAACCAGAAAATATTGGGACTCTTCGATAAGACTCGCCGAGTCCAAGAACAGACTCGCCAAGTCTAAGGCTATCTTCAACCTACTTGTCGAGTCCACCCATGCGACTCACCGAGTACCACCGGTTTGAATCCATACAGAAGCATTCCAGGCTATGCAATTGATCCAAAACATAGATCTAGCCTCCTACAATCCATCCATCACGTAAAGTGGCAAACTTTACGTGAATCCAAGGAGATCTAGGCCTTATTCACTTTAGAGCTAGGGTTTGGGACATGATGACCTCACAAAGCACACAAACACAGGGACTTTAATGCACTCTAGGCCTTCAATATTCCAGATCTGAGGTAGCAACCTCAGATCTAACCTCCAAACTCCAAAACATACCAAGATAAGCTCCCCAAAGACCCCAAAATGAAGAATCCACATGAATAATAGCCAAAGAACGAGATATTACCTCAAAAGAATGCCCCAACTGCAATGAAACTAGAATCCAAGCAAAGCCCTTTGATCGAAGCCTCTTCTCCTTCAAGATTTCTTCAACAAACACCTCCCCAAGCTCCAATTGCACTCCAATCTTCCACAATCATGCTTTTTAGGGTTTCTAGACTTCAAGGGGGGATCAAAGAGGCTGGGGAGAGGATATAATGTTCTTTAAATAGGGCTCAATCCCCAGATTTAGGGTTTTCTCCACTCAACACCTACTCGCCGAGTCCATCTTTGGAATCACCGAGTAGGCCACTTGACTCGCGACCAAAAGTCGCTACCCTACTTGCCGAGTCCATCCATGGACTCACCAAGTTGCCCTTCAAAATTTACACTTTAGCCCTTCAACTCTACTCTTGCTATTTCGGGATGTTACACTTGGGCTCTGGGTCTTACTCAGTTTGGCGTTACTCTGGATCAGTAAGTCACCTTTCTTGGAATCCTGCATGCTGAAACTATTCAACACTTTATCCAAGTAGGTACTTTAACTAAGTCCAATTATTCTCTTACTCTTGTCTCTTAATATCCTTATCCCTAGGATATAGGCATATTCTCCAAGGTCCTTCATAGCGAAACACTTCCCAAGCCAGGAATTAACCTCATTCAAGGTTGGAATGTCATTTCCTATGAGTAGTATATCATCCACATATAATACCAAAAAGCTAACTATACTCCCACTAGCCTTAACATATACACATGACTCATCCTCGCTCCTCGAAAAGTCAAACTCTTTGACTTTCTCATCGAAACAAAGATTCCATCTGCGAGGTGCTTGTTTTAATTCATAGATGCATTTCTCAAGCTTACACACTTTATTAAGTTACTTTGCATCAACAAAACCCTCTGTTACCATGATATCCTGAGTTGGGATTTTCCGCAGTTATAAAGGAATTCTCCCCAATCATTATTTGAATTCGAATTTATCCCAGTTAAATTGGGATTCTTCTGAGTTATTATTTGAGGTGGGATTTTCCCTATTTATAATGGGATTGTCTCAGTCATCATTTGAAGTGGGAGTTTCCCAAGTTATAATCAGATTCTCCTTAGTCATTATTTGAAGTGGGCTTTTCACCAGTTATAATGCGATGCTTCCCAATTACTATTAGAAGTTGTATTTTCCACAGTTATGATGGAATTTTCCCCAACTATTGTTTACAGTAAGATTTTCCCTAGTAGGGGTCTTCCCAGATTATTTTCCAATCAAATTTGGAAAAAAAAAATTAAGGATCCTCAAAAATCTCCTGATAGGAATCCTTCTCAACGCAAACTCTAAAGATCATATGGGATCGTGACTTAAGACTTCTTCTAAATCAGAAGGTTACAAAAGCCAAACATCACCATGTTTTATCTATCCTTAATTAAAGTTATTTTTCTTACATAATGATGAAGAGTTTGTTTTCCTAAAGATATTAAAAATTTTAAGATCCCAAATTAATAACTAATTATTTCAGATCTTAAGGATCATGATTGCATGAGGATCCTTACCAAAGAAATTCATCATTGCAGGCTGGTAAGGATCCCAATAATTTGAAGATCCTCAGGAATCCTACTTCTAAAATCATATCAACCACGCAAGAAAAAAAATATAAGAATCAACTACCAAAGCGCATCAACTAAAAGTGGGTTGCCAAACAAACTCCCAAAAAAGTGGAACATTGTCTGCAAACCAAATATTTAAAAGTTATTTTTAAGACATCAAACTTAAGCCTTGGTTCATACCTGGATAAGGGCACTTTGAGAACAATAAAGATCGATAGATTCTATATTTGCACAACGAATTAAAGACAAGAAACAGTAATGATCAAAAATGTGTCGAATGATTGTATTAATCACATGTCTAGAAAAGTTCTTAAAGACGGAACTATTCTATGTGAGCTTCAAAAGTTGTAACCCTACAAGTTACATGCACGACATATATATAGACTAAAATAAGAAGTGGTTTCGAACATGGATATGCCTATTTCGGAACGAATAATAAACATCGGACACAACACTTTATTAGACCTAACAATCTCCCCTTTTGTGTCAAATCGGAAAAGAGTCTTCTCTATTGCATTTGCACTTAAAAAACCTTAGGCAATATTTTTCAGAAGGGTTGCCCTAACAGCCAAATACCACTGAATCATATCTGACACACATTTCAAATCTGAAGCCGAATTGGTCTTTTTCGCATTCACCCTTACTAGAATCTGATTCATTTCATTTGTGGAATACGAGTGTTTGTCCCTTAAAAAGAACTTGCAATTTTTCAGAACTCCACCCTCCTTCTTCTTATATACGATGCTCCTATATTCCTCATCAATCACTCCACTAGGAAGATCTTGGATATCCTCAGGTTCTTCAAATGGCTTCATTATGGGTCTATTATTTAGAATGGAGGCAATCTCAATATTCGTTTTTCCAATCTCTAGGATGTAGCACTTAAGCATCCTCTTCAGATGGTTGAATATTGGCTCGTATTTAGTCACATCCTTCGCAACTATGTTGAATAACAAAATCCAATCATATGGATTCATGAAAGGCAAATCAGCCATAGTAAACTCATGAAGCACATGATTCAAACCCCGAAATCCTTTGTAGTGAATATTTGAAAAATCTTTAGTTTCCACAGGAAGTCTGACCTTCAAACCTTTGATCCTCTTTAGACTTTGAGACTGTTAATGAGGTTTCTAATGCTTAAGATATAATTTGAAGAGTTTTCTGTTGATCGTGTTGTTGGAGATTAGAAACATCTCAATCTTTTGGAACCATCAGAAAAGAAATGCTCGTGGGGTGAGGCCAAAGTCCAATTGGAATTTGATATCATTGTAGGTGGAAAATGATGTCTTTAGTTCCAACCATTATAGCTCTAAAAGTTCAACGACTTCATTCTGAATTCTTTGAATGGTCCACATATGGAACAAGGACTTTTGACTTTAAAAAATAAAGGCAAAATTTTTAATTTCTGCTTCTTCTATATCAAGCTTCTGTTAGAGAGCAGTGAGATCATCAAGCTTTTTATCACATTTCTTTCTTACAATCTTTTCAGATTCAGATAAATTTTCTTCTTTATCATCATCTTCAATTTATATTCCCATATGTTTATTTGATCCAGAAGCTACATTATCCTTTTGATCAACCTCTTTTTCACATGAACCTTCTCTTCTCCCCTTGTTTTGAAGGAGCACTAGTTCGCGAAACCCCTAGGATTTGATTTAGTAGAGTGAACATTGGCTTAAGTTTTTCAGATAAGGTAAGGCAAATTGTATCATTAAATGGAGGAGATCTAGTCTAAACAATTCTCAACAGTCGTTGATGGATTTTGGAATTGCAAGCCTTCACAGAACACTTCTCCCCCTGTAGCCTAAGGACCTCATATTTAGCATTCTTCAAGTTTTCAGTCAAAATTCTTGCTTTATGAGTTTGCTCTGCTAAGGCATCCATGATTTTATTTTCTATTGTCGTGTCTGCCTTTAACTTATTAAGTTGAGTGGTGATGGTTGACTTAAGATTGACGTTATCAAGCTTGATATCAACACATATTTTTGATAGAGCTTCTTTCTCGGCTTTCAAAAAAGAACTAAAACCTTTAGTGACCTTATTTATGTCTGTTTTTGCTCTTATCCTAAGAGCTCCTAAAATCTGCCATGAATTCCTTGACTTTGGTTTGCAAGAGTAGAACCTTTTCCACATATTCATTTATTTTCTTGTCTGAGGCTTAGGCAACCTTGGTGGATTCTTCAATTACCTTGGAGTTAGTAGATATGTGAGCAGCTCCACAATTTACTAAGGAGTGTTTAGAAGATTTTCCCACTTAGAAGAAGAAAATACTTGAGAATGATCAACGAGTGAGTCAAGCTTCTCTAATAACTGTTTGAACTGTCCTTTTGTCATGGGAGCTTCATCTTCATCACGATTGAAGTTGAGGTTGAAAGGCTAAAAAGCGAAGTCCTCGATAGGTTATTGTTCATCACCAAAGAGTATGTCTTTATCATCATTGAAATGTGAAGCGGATAATGTGCCTGGTTTGGAAGTCACACCGATATTGGCATTTTCCCCCGTATCTGAGATGTTAACAGAGATGCCCGAAATTTGTATCTCCTTTGTAACAGACTTGATTAAAGCGAATTTAGGTGGATCTGAGACCTATGAAGTAGTGAGATTGGTAGAATTATTAAATATGGGTCAGGATAGAGGGATGGAAATATGAGGGAGAGAAATTCCCACAGAACTAGTTGGTGGTAGACGGGGATGGATGATATCAAAATTATGGATGTAATGGGTCAGGATGACTTTGGAAAATTTTGTGGAATAACAAGTGGTGATGGTGTAGTGGTAGAGAAGTTCAAAAATGGTTGTTGTAGCATGTTGTTGAAAATATCAAAAGTTGGAGCAGAGAAGTTTGGAGGAGAAGATGCCTTCAAAATGTTGCCAGTATGGCGGGTTTAGAAGTTGCAGTTTTATCCTCTTCCTCATTTTGGATAGTATCGTAATCTTGAACTTTAGTAACAATTCTTTCTTCTGATTCTTATTGAAATACCGGAGATGGAGATCTCAGTTTCTTTGATGGCTTCTTTGTTTTCTTCAAAACTCTAACACTTTCGGAAGGAGCAGGTTTTGCCTTCTTTTTACCACCATGCTTTGGTTTGTTCCTTTCTTCAATCAACTTCCTTAGTTCAGCAAGCATTGTTCGAACAATAGAAGAGGGTAGCTTTCAATACTCCTTTGTAATAGAATTATCAATTGGAACCTTTTCCAACATTTCAATCAGAACTGAACCAACAAAATCAAAGTTTCTAGGATCCGACATTACAAATGTAGATGTTTGGAGTGTTAGAATATCTTCCATTATGGAATCTTTCATCAGAGGGATTTTAAAGTGACCAAGAGCCCTGTTGAGCACTATCGACCAGAATCAACCACATTAGATATCAATGTGGCGAGAAGAGGAAATGGTGCTCTAAATCAGTTGAGTCCAAATAACTACCCCATAGTCGAGATTAATACCATGGTATAAACCGTAAATCAAGGTGTATAACATTTTGCTTGCATTGTCAGACCCAGAAACCCTCTCTGACTGGTTGTTGAATAGTAGGGTAAATAACCCATTCCACATCGATGGTAAGAAAGACTTCCTAAAATTGGAAAGCAAGGAAATGTCACTCGTGTACCCCATCTGGTAGAACATCTCTATCACGGAGATAGATAGAGTTGATATAGGATCGAAATTAACCTTGTATGTAGTAAGCGCTAGAACTGTGCAAAAGAGGGGCTTAGATATAGAGTTTTTGTGGTTTGCCACTTCAAAGTTGATAATAGTAGTGGAGAATGCCTTTGAGAGATGAACAAGAGGATCTGCTTCTGCCATGGTTAGTGTCTTCATCAGTGGATAGAATTTGAGACAATCAATTACAGGTCAAATTTATTCATTGTAGTGTGCGGCATCAAGGTCAATGATCATGTTCTGGTTGGGTTTAACAAATAGCATGATAATAGAGGTAAACTGGTCGTCAAAGTAGATGTTTTCAAATGAACCTGCCATTGATGTTGTGAGAGAGATGATAAACAGTGGAGAGCAAAAGGGTTTTTACTTTGAGAATTTAAGAATTTTGTATGTGGTGAGAGAAGGTAGATGATTTGAAAAACCCCTTTTATATAGAATATGATGAGTGGTGAGAGAAACCGTTGTTTCATATTCGTGTACAAGGAAAAATCAACCAATAAAAACGTGCTAGCTAATCGTTGACTATTAGAATTTGTTGCAATCAACCACGCGGTGTCTAGGAGATTCAAAAATCGCCCCAAGATTTGAAGTTAACTAAAAGATATTATACTTTTTGTATTCACCATGTTCGGAACTAGTCTTTTCTACTTTCCAACACTGTAAACATCCATTCGGAACTGAAACCAGACTTGGTAAAATCACAAGGATTTTAGTGCTAGAGTGTGCCAAAGAAAAAGAAATAAAGCAAATATTATGTGGGTTTCTGTGATATCAAACAATGTTGACATGAAAAACCGATTGATCCTAGAATTTTAACGGGTGGTTTCAGCTTCAACCGAATTCAGAAAATTAACATAGGTTTGAAGATCTGAAAGAAGTACTTCTTTGATCAGTGTAGCCATAAGAACAAGTAAGCCTGGGATATTATTTTAAAGTAACTGGATATAATGGAAATCTCAAATATATATATATATACATAAAGCATATCATATTGGGAAGAAATGTCTTAGGACGAGATCATTTCATCAAGACCACTCAAAAAGAAAAATGATATTTCAAACACTCAAAGGTAAAACCAAAAGGTTTTCATTCATCAATTCTTTGGGTAAGTACCTAGAATAAAAGAGTGATCAACGTAAATTCATAAGTGGTGTTAAGAGTTTTGGGTTTAACTCAAAATCATGGTTATAATGATTTCAAGATCATAAGCACGGATGTTTTGTAACCTAAACCTCAGTGGTTAAAGCTAAGAGTCTAATGTGTTACGACACATAACAAAAGATTGGTAGTAGAGTTAATGGGAGTTTCACGAAAATCATGTTGATAATAATTTTGCGATAATTTACAAGAGTTTTGTAGCCCTATACCAAAACTGGTTTTGTTCCAATAATCATGGGATTACGTGGAGGTTGAAATAAGATACGGTAGAAAGAAATGATTAAGTCGACCATCAATTCCTTGTTGAAGAATTTAATTCAGAAATGAATTTAGAAACGAAAATATTTTTGATGTTTTTGATTTTTGAAACACTTAAAAAAGAAGAAAATATTTTTGATAATTTTGAATTTTTGAAAACAAAATACATAAACAAATAAAATATTTTTGGATTTTTTAATTTTCTAAAAATAAAGAAATTAAATAGTAAGTTCACTTCAAAAACAAAGAAGTATACAGAGGTGAGGAGAATAATAAAAGACTTAAAAATATAAAGGTTCCGGAATCCTAATGTACAGTTGCTTCACAACCATTCTGAAGATCGAAGCAAGTCGAAAGTAAAAAAAGAGAATTCTGAATCATTCCTAAGCTCGCAACAAGTCAGAATATGAGCAATGGATTGCAAACCATTCCGAAGCTCGGAACCATTCAGAATGTGAATAGTAACTTACGAACAATGATCATTACAAAGAAGATTATGGAACAGAGTCATCTTCAATCAACCCTAACCCTTATAAAATATGATTGAATGATGCTTCAGGTAGGGCCTTTGTGAAGATATCTGCTAACTGATCGGAGGATATAAGAAAATGAACTTGTACATTTCCATCCTCGACATGATCCTTTATGAAGTGGTATCCCAGTGCTAAATGCTTTGTCATGGAGTGTTGCACTGGATTATGGCAGATTCTTATTGTTCTTAAGGAATCGCAATACTAGGGATTTCACTTCATATTGATTCCATAATCTCTTAACTAATTTTGAATCCACACCACTTGGGAAGTGCATGATGTTGTTGTGATGTATTCTGCTTTAACTAAAGATAAGGAGACACATGTATGATTCTTAGATTGCCAACTAACAAGCTTTCCATCTTAAAACTAACGTCCTCCGTATGTAGTTTTCCGATCAAGACCTCTGATCCAGACCACAATCCCCTAAGTTAGCATTGGAGTAAGCTTACACAAACAAAACCGAATTGGATGGATACCATAGACCAAGAGAAGTTGTTTGCTTTAGATACCGAAGTATGTTCTTAACTACCAACATATGTTGTTCTCTGGGATTCGCTTAAAACCCGGAACAACAACAAATTTAGCAACAGGGACTTTGACCTTTGAATCACCCACCATTCCAAATTTAGCAAGTAACATCTTTGTGAAGGCTTTTTGATTAATGAATATACCTTCTAAACTCTGTCTTATATTTAAGACATGGAAAATTTTCATTTTACCTATTGAACTCATTTCAAATTTAGTTTCCATTACTTTTCGGAATTCAGCAGCTAAGTTGGGATTAGTTGATCCAAAAATAATGTCATCAACAGAAGGTAGGATCAACAGAAAGTTGTTTGAATATTCATTGTTTAAGAAAACGAGTCAGAGTTTCATACCATGCCCTTGGAGAGTGTTTAAGACCATACACTGCTTTATCCAAAATGTAACAATGATTCAGAAAAATTTCGTTCACAAAACCTGGAGGTTGTTCGACATAGACTATTTCTTCAAGCTCTCCATTCAGAAATGCACACTTCACAACCATTTGATATACATCAATTTTTTTTCAATAGTATAGGCGAGAAAAATGTGAACTGATTCATGTCTAGCCAGAGGTGCGAACGTTTCTTTGTAATTTATTCCTTCTTCTTGACAGTAGCCTTTAACAACCAAATGTACTTTATTGCGAATAACATTGCCTTTTTTGTCTATATTATTTTGAAATACCCATTTCATCCCAACCAAAGATGCATCTTTCAGAGTAGGAACCAGTCGCCATACTTTGTTACGATTAAACTCATTCAGTTCTTCATGCATGGCTTCAACCCAGTCTGCATGATCAAGAGTTAATTTAATAGTTTTAGGCTTAATTTTTGAAACAAAAGAACTAAACATGCAAAATTCCAATTTATAAAATAATGCAGTTTGCCTTGCTTTTTTTTAGCACGAGTAAGAACTCTTGATGATGAATCTCAGATCACTTGAGATGGAGGATGGACTTTAGTCCATTTTGTCATTGGAGGATAGTTCTGATCACAAGCTGGATCATCTTCAGCAACAACATCTTCAAATTCCAGTTGTGCATGCGAGTCATTAATTTCATTATTCTCCCCCTATAAGTTTGCATGTGACCCGGCCTCTGGAATTGAATTTTCCCCCTGGAGAGGAATATCGGTATTCAATTTATGAGTGGGACTCTTTGCTTGGATTGGAACTTCAAAAGGATTTGGTTGAGGTTTATTTGGATTTGGTTGCTCTGGAGGAATCTCTATATCTTTAACAGCTTCGTCAACAATCTTGATCAATTCATCTTCTTGATATTCTTTGGCGTTTCGTTCTGAGGAAATTTCTTTGTCAGTTTCATCAAACAAATTTTAAAAAATCCTCATATAAATTTCAAAGAGGAATAGTCTTAGAATTTGTTAATGGAAATATTTCTTAAGATTGACAATTTTCTTCTTGATATTTCATCATATAATTGTCATCAAACATAACATAGTAGGTTTCCCTAATCTTCCTTGACTTCTTGTTCAGAACTTGATATGCCTTTGATGTGAATGAGTACCCCAGAAAAAATCGCTACGTCAGCTTTCACATCGAATTTGTTCCGATTTTCTTTGGATTTGAATACGAAACACCTGGAACCAAACACATTAAATAATTTAACTTTAGGTTTTCGATTGTTTAGAAATCCATATGGAGTAATCAGAAATCGTTTGTTAATGTAGGTTCGGTTCTAAGTAAAACAAGCGGTGGCAATGACATCAACCCATAAATACAAAGGAAGATATGCAAATGACATCATTGTCCTTATGGCTTCACAGTTGTTGAAACAATAATAACTCAAATCGATAGATTCTATAAATGATGTGAATAAATAACATGAACAATATCAAATAGTGTGGAATGCTTATATTGAATAGCTTTACAAGAGTTCAACGAGAACTTCTCTGTGTAGGCTAAGTAGGGCAATACAATTGTTAAACCCTAATGTTGCATGCATGCAATATTTATAGTTTAACCCTAGAAAGTAATAATCGTGGATGGACAGGCCCAAACCGGAATAAATGAGACTACAAAACATTTGAGAAAACACTCTAATAACCCAAAAATAGGAGATTGTTCATTGTTGCATTGATTGAACCTTAAATAACTTTGGCATCATACTCATAAGTGTCTTCCGAACCACAATGTACCATTTGATCATGTCGGAAAATCATTTCTAATCACCAGCATCATTTAATTTGCACGCTTCAGTTAATTCCAAGGCATACTTCAGAGTACATGTTGAATGTAAGTTCTTATCTAGCAAAAAGAATATACATCTCTGAACTTTCTGATTAGTTTTCCTCTAGTAAACCACACTCCAGTTCTCTTTTCTGATGTTTCCCAGCTTCATCTTATTTAGATCCTTTGATTCTTCTTCTGGTTGCAGAATCGGTTTCTTTTTCAGCACAACTATGATTTCTGCATCCATTTTTGCAAACACTTAACCGTAGCAAATAAGCATTCTCTTAAGATGAGCTATGGCAAGCTCATACTTCTGTTCGTCATTGGATAAAATTAGGAACAGGGAAATCCAATCATAAGGATTCATGAAAGGTATATCAGCAAGAGTGAATTGAAATTCAGTATGCTTGGTTCCTCTGAATCTTTTGAATTTGATGTTGATGAAGCTCTTAGTTGGAAAGGGAGCATATACCTTCAGTGCGACAATATTTTGTAATCTCTAAGTTTGAAACTGGGGCTTTCCATTTTTTAGATAGAAAGAGAAGAGTGTTTGATTAACATCAAAATATGAAAGCGGAGATTTGACAATCTTCTCAAAACACCTGAATAAAACCGCCCTAGAAGTAATTAGGAAGTTAACGCTCCATCAAATTTGTTCTTGGTTCATCAATCACCTCCTTCTGAATCCTTTCAATAGTCTATGGGGAAAATAGGGATTTCTGAGTTGCAAGAGTGACTTTCACAATCTCGGCTTCAGCGTCCTTTGCTATTAACTCTTTGCGAACTCTCAAGAGATTATCATGCTTCTTTATTATTAGCTTTTCACCTACGGATAATACTTCCTCTTCTTCTTTATCATCAACTAGTTTCTCTTTCCCTATTGATGTACAAGCTTCATTATCCTTCTGATCTTTTGTGTTCGGTTTCCGCTCGGTTTCGCTAGTTGGTTCCAGAATCTTTTTCTTGGGCTTTTATTTTTTGTATCTGTTTCTCCCCTTAGTTTCGGAAGAACATCAGATTCTAAAACACCCTCTTGCTTATTAAGTATTGAAAATATTGGTTTTAGTTTTTCGGCAAGATGTTGTTGAACCGTGATAGTGAGAAGTGAATCATGTGTCTCGACCAGTCCTTACAAATATTGATTTACTTCCAGAGTGCAGCTCTTGATGAAACTATTCTCGGATTCCAAATCGTCAAGACTCTTATTGGTGTAGTTCAACTTGAGTGAAAGAACTTTAACCTTCTTAGGCTTCTGAGCGAGTTTATCTATAATATTGCTCTTAGTAGCAATATTTGCCTAAAGTTTCTCAATCTTGGACAGAATAGAGGTATTTAACTCATCACTATCAACCTTGACCTCGGAGCGAATACGAGAAAAAGCTTCATTTTCAACTTACAAATGGGAGCTAAGACTGGAAATAAAGTTATTTACACTCTCAGTATTTTCATCATAGGACTTTCGAAAGTCAGCCACGAACTGTGTAACTTCGTTATATAGTTTTTTGTCTTTTACAGTCGCATCTAAAATTGTTAAGTCTGATGCTTGAATAGCCTCTTTAGCTTTGGAAAGGACTATCACATTTTCTTTTGTGAGCATCTCAACCATTGTTCTATGTGACTTCAGCATTAACTCCTAGTTAGATGAATTAATAGAGGACTCTAGAATGAAATCCAACTTAGCACTGGGTTTTTAAATTTTCCCTTGAGTCATTGGGGTATCGTCATCATCGCTGTTCTGATGAATCGCAAAAGGGCTGAAGGTAAAATCTTGAAAAGCCTCTTGACCACCCCCTAAAAACAATGTCTATATCATCTTCTCAGAGAGGTGAAGTTTTAGATGTGCTTGGGCTCTTAGTAACACCAAAATCATCATTTACCCCCATATCAGATAAGTTGACAGTTGACATCAGAGTACTAACTGTGGAAATTATGGTTGCGGTTGAGTATGTATAGAATGGAGTGGAAATGGAAGAAAATTTTGTGGTAGAGAAACACCCACAGAGAAATTCAGTAGTGGAGCAGTGGAGATTGGTACAGTGGTGGTGATTGGAGATGAAGTGGTTATCAGAGATGGTGGTGGAGTGTGCATCCGAAATACATGAGAAATAGGTGCAGAAGTGGGAGGTGGAGTGGATACCTTCGAAATTTGAGTTGATGTAGGTGGTACCGAAGTGGTTGTGGTATCTTCGACTTCATTCTGAACAAGTTCATCCCCAAGAAGATCCGATTGATTTCTTGACTCCAAAGCCTCCTAAACGGGAGATGGTGACCTTAGTTTCCGAGTAGACTTCTTAACCTTCTTCTTCGGAGTTTTAACAGCTTCAGAATGGCTAGTTTTTCCGTTTCGTTTTGCACCCTACTTCGGTTTGTTTGCTTTGTTAATCACCTTTAGTAAGACATCTGGCATAGGCCGAGCACTAGAAACTGGATATTTGTGATACCCGATTATGATCACATTGTCAGACAACACCATTGTAAGCATCACCTCTAGAATTGGTACCACAAATGTGAACTTCATGGGGCTAGACATCACAAATGTTGATGTCTGAAGGACCAGAATCATAGCAACAACAGAATCCTCTGAGATGGGAACTTTGAAGTGAACAAGTACTCGTTTAACAACGATTGACCAAAAACATGCATATGATATCTCAGTGTTGCGAGTAAAAGACGAAGTGCTTTGAATAAGTTACGTCCATAGGATGGAGCCATAGTCCAGATTAATCCCATAGTAGAGGCTATAAATAATGGTTCAAAAGAGCTTACTAGTACTGTCTGATCCTACTACTCATTCCGAAAAGCTTTTAAATAGCAACGTAAATAGCTAGTTCCATATTGGAGGAAGATCGGGCTTCCTGACATTGATAGCAATGTGATATCTCCAATATATCCCATCTGATAAAACATGTTGATGTGATCAGTTGATGAAATCAATCTGGATCAACTAGGTCTTCAGATGAATCAAGCCATAACATTCTGCAAAAACGAGCTTTGTTGATCAACGTTTTGTTAGTGGTAACCTCAAAGGTTATGATGCCATCAGCTTGAGTATATGTTGCACACGAGTACACCTTAGAGAGATAAACTAGTGGAATCGTATATGCCATTGTCAAAGCTTGAGCAATTGGGGAAAACCATAGACATTCAATCATCAGCTTTAGGGGATCATTGTATCGTGATGAATCCAGATCAAGAATAAGATTTTGACTTGGATTTAGGTTCATCATGATCTCAGATGTAGTTTCGTCAGCAAGAAAACGATTTTGTTTCAGATGATCCGGTCATGGTAGTAGTTGAAGAAGATGAACAGTGAGCAGAGAGAGAAAAGGGTTTTTCTTTTTTGCATTGAAAGTATTTGACAGTTGTAAGAGAAAAGAAATCATCAAAACCTTTATATATATCATGATAGGTAAGAGAAAATCACGCCTTGACTTTTCCATATCCCTGTAAATAAACCTTGAAATGCCAAATGGCATTGTACTGACACGTATGATGTCAGGGATTTAAAATAAACAGCCTTATTTGAATCCACTACCCCATTAAACCGACTTTTCAGTTTTGACGTTTCGGAATAAGATGTCACTTCACCTTTACCTGTTCTCTGAATAACAACAATCCACATGAATTAGAATCAGACTTGAAAAAATCATAAAGATTATCGAGCAAGAGTGTGTAAAAGAAAAAGAAATAAAACAAAATAAATTTATGGGATTTAGTGATGTTAAAGACCAATGATATGAAATTTAGATTGATCTCAAGCAACGATTGCTTCCTACCGAGACAAGAGATACTCAAAAGTGTTTGTGTGGCATCCCGTTGAGTAATGATCATCTATTTATTAAGAAATTGTGAAAGGCTTCTTTCAATAAGGTTGCATGGGTGGCTTAGGCTTCAACCAAATTTCGAAACTCAACATAATTTCGAAGATATGGAAGAAGTACTTGTTTGACCAGTGTACCCCTAATAAAAACTAAGGTTTGTATATTGTTTAAGTGGCTGGATATAAAAGAAATCTCAAAAAAAAATTGTTTTGATCATTTGGGTAGTAACGTCTTAGGTCGAGAACATTTCATTAAGATCACACAAAAAGAATAGTGAAATATCACACGACAATTGTACTAACCAATAGGGTATTAATCATCAATTCATTGGTGAAGATTCTAGAACATTAGATTGTTCGTCGTCAATTCAGAAATGGTTTTTGTATTTTGGGTCACACTTAAAATCATGGTTATTACGATTTCAATATCATCAACATAGAACTAGTGTAACCATAATCCTTAGTGTAGATGCTGAGAGTCTCATGGGTTACGTTTTGTGAATGTGAAGTTGATGGAGAAATAGGAGGTTGGTTCCGAAGAAGGAAATGTACCTCTGCTATAAATTAGTGACAAAGCAGTCAACTCATAACTCTGTGTGAGAAGAGTACGGTAGCTTTATGACTTATGTGAATTCTCAGCCTGATTGGGAAGAAACGATCGGAATAAACGTTTCATTAAGGCTTTAAACATATAGTCTCAGATGCTTGGGACAACATGAAAAAGCATGCTTCTAGGGACACTTAACTAGTATACGGATTCAGCTAGTATATGGATTCAAAATTATTCCTGCTCCATCGTTCTGAATTCTTGTAACATGAATTTGTACCTAAATAAAAAATGTAATCTGGAAATAACACACAAAATAAAGAAAAATATTTGTGTAATTGTTGGATTTTCTGAAAAAGATAAAACAGAAATAAAGAAAATATTTTTGTGATTTTTGAATTTTCTAAAAAAGCAAATGAAAAACAGAAAGTAAAGAAAAATTACTAACTAAAACAAATTCATAAGCATAAATGAATAGTGACTTTGGAAGCATTCTGAAACTCAGAATCAATCAGAAGACACATAATGTACAAAGTATACAAAAGCAATCGAAACCCAGATGAATAGTAGAATTCGAACCATTCTGAAGCTTGGAATGTGAATAGTAAATTTCGACCACGATAGGGATTTCAAAAATTAGTCAGCTTCTATCATTTCGAGACCTTGTAAGATATAACTAAATGTAGCTTTAAGTAAGGCCTTTGTAAAGATATCAACCAACTGATCATAGGATCTAACAAAGTATACTTCAACGTTTCCATCCTCAACATGATCCTTTATAAAATGGTATCTCAGTGCAATATGTTTTGTCTTAGAGTTTTGCACTAGATTATGGCATATCTTAATAGCGCTTTCTGAATCACAATATAAAGGAATCCTCTTCATATTTAACACATAATCTCTAAGCTGAATATAAATCAATATGACTTGCGAAGTTCATGATGCAGCACCTATATACTCTACTTCAGCAGTAGATAGAGAGACACATGCCTACTTCTTAGATTACCAACTAACTAGTTTTCCATCTAGAAGCTGACATCCTACAGTTGTACTTTTACGATCAAAACCGCATCCGCCAAGATCAGCGTCAGATTAAGCTTGCATAAAGAATCCGGAGTAAGAAGGATAGCAAATTCTGAGAGAGGTGGTTCTTTTGAGGTAACGGAGAATATTCCTCACAACACTCACGTGTGGTTCATAAGGATTCGCCTGAAACCTAACACAATAGGAAACAACAAACATAATATTCGAACGACTAGATGTTTGGTACATTAAATAACCAATCATTTGTCGATATAGAGTGAGATCTGTAGGTGGCCTGTCCAAGGATAGAGTGAGCTTCATTATGAATGCCATTGGAACCTTTACCTTTGAATCACAAAGCATGCCAAATTTCACAAGAAAAGTCTTAGTGTAGGCTTATTGGTTGATGGAAAATGCCCTCCGAGCTCTGTCTAATATTTAAACCAAGGAAAAACTTAATATGACCCATTGAGCTCAATTCAAATTTAGTTTCCATCGGTTTTCGGAATTCAGCTATTTATCTAGAATTTGTAGATCCGAAAATGATATCATCAACGTAAATTTTGACGATCATTAGATGGTCACCATATTTCTTGTGAAAGAAGGTTGGGTCGACCAAACCTTGTTTAAATTTTGATTGTTTCGGAAAATGAGTTAGAGTTTCATACCATGCATGAGGAGACAGTTTTAGACCATACACAGCCTTATCCAAAATATAGCAATGATTTGGATATGTTTCATTTACGAAACCTAGTGGTTGTTCCACATAGACTATATCCTCGAGTTCATCGTTCAAAAATGCACACTTCACAGCCATTTGATAAACTTCAAAGTTTTTGTGAGTAGAATAAGCAAGAAAGATCTAAATGGATTCAAGTCTTGCAACCATTGCAAATGTTTCCTCATAGTCTATACCTTCATCTTGGAAGTATCCTTTCACAACCAATCGTGCTTTATTTTGAATCACGTTGCCTTCCTTATCTATTTGTTGTGAAACACCCATTTCATTCCAACAACTGAAGCATCCTTTGAAGTTAGAATTATTCTCCAAACATTGTCCTCTCAAATTCATTATGTGCTTCCTGCATATCTTGCACCCAATCAACATGATCCAGAGCCATCTTTACAGTTTTATACTCGATCTTGGAGATGAACGAATAAAACATGAAAAATTCCATTTTTAAAAATAATGCATTATTTATTCGCTTTTTGTTGTGCCCTTGTAAGAACTCCTGAAGATGCTACTCTGATCAATTGAGATTTTGGGTGATCTTTGGTCCATTTGGCCAATAAAAGGTAGTTCGGATCATAGGTTAGATCCAATTCAGAATTTAAATCTTCGAATTTGTATGTTGGAGTCATTATTTTCATTCTCCCCCTGTAAGTTTACATGTGACTTTGCATTAGGAATCAGTTTCTCCCGCTGGATCGGAACATCAGGATTTAAATTTGAAGAGGATTTCTCTCCTGGAATGGAGCATCAGAAGTTGTTGGTTGCGATGCTGGATCAGAAGCTTTGGGAATTGGTGTCTCTAGAGAGGTTCCGATGTTTTTAGTAGCTTCATCGACATTTTTCTTTAACTGGTTGACAATTTGTTTTCTGAAACTTTTTCTTATAACTATCATCAAATGTGACTTAATAGGTTTCTTTAATTTTCCTTGATTTCATTTTTAGAACCCTATACGCCTCCTCAATTAACAAGTAACCTAAAAAATGCCTTCATCAACTTTTGCGTCGAATTTGTCCTTTGTTCTTTGGAATTGAAAAACAAGCACCTGGAACCAAACACATGGAACAAGTGAAGTTAGGTTTTATTGTAACGACCATAAATTTTTCAACAAATTTTAACTTTTCAAAACATCCCAATTACTTTAAGTTTTTACAAAAAGGTTTTCAATACACTTATTATTAGAGTATTCCCAGAAATATAAAATAAAACATAAACACGAGGAGCGGTACGATCACGCCTTCGCCTTGCCACGGTCTCCTGAAGAACGTGAAAAACAGTAAACCACAACTGTAAGCCCGAAAGCTTAGTGAGATACCCCCAAACTACCAACCACATATACCATACACGTATAACATGTCATATCATAACCGATCATAGAACAACCATGCATATCGGGTCTACTGTGTGACTGGTCCGCCGTATTGGGACTTCAGTCCACCGAGTCCACCCTCCGAGTCTAGTCATGTCCCTCGAGTCTGCAGTATGGTTAGTCCGCCCGCACCGGGGCCTTCAACCCACCTGGTCCACTCTCTGAGTCTACAGTATGACTGGTCCACTTGCATCGGACCTTCAGTCGGCCTGGTCCACTCTCCGAGCCTCGGCACGTCTGGTCTGCCCTCGTGGGGCCTACAACCTATCCGTACCGCTCGCTGGGCCTTTGGAACAACCGGTCCGCCCTGGGTATCTTGTCCTACAGCACAAAGCAGGACCCGCCTCAACCTAACTCCAATCGAAACAACCATGTGCACATAAACATACAATCATATAACAGTTCACAGTCAACAAGCCAATCGAACAGATCACATAACATATCATCATCCTAACCAGGATACCGACCAAACTGGTCACTAGCATAGCATCACCCTACATATCATGATATCGATCCTAACCAGATCTCTAACGTATACCATTCTAGCTACCATGATGCAAACATATCAAAGCAATAACATAACAACAAATACACGGATCTGAATTCGATAAAGGACTGGCCTTGGTGCCTTAGACCCTGTTGATATAGTGAGGATAACTCACCTTGCGATTGCCGAAACTCTTAAATGAAGAAACAGATTCCTGAATCACCGACTCACCGCAAATCCCGAACTACCT